TGGACCGCCTGCTGCCTGACGTCGGAGCCCCGCCCCCATGACGACGTAAACTCTTTTCCTCCTATCGCGCACCTCAGATCTGCACGCACGTCTTTGCAACAGACAAGCCATGAACTAGGGTTGTTTCTAGTTTTTATTTGTTATGAATGGGACGATTTGAGCGATCTAAATACCTGCTGCGATTTCGGTGCTAATTGCAGTAACCGTCCTTAATCTGTTGTGCAATTGATACTTACCTCTGATGATTTTAGCAATTGGTAATTGCAATTGGCTGTAAATATCTACAGTTAGATGCGTGCCATCTTTTTAACTACCTCCGGTGTGTTAGGTAATTGCATTGGTTGTGTATATAACATTGGAGCTGCACTACTTTAGTAGGATAAGTGTCTGCTGTCACTGTTAATATAAACTGCAGCGAATTATTTGTTACCCTGTTATTCTGAAGATGTTTTGCAAAATTAATGGGCATATTCCTTCTACAGATCACCTTCGGTGGGGGTCTATTCCAAATCACTGATGGAGTCTGGGCCGGATTCTGTTAGACAGGAGCCTGGGCCGTTTATTGCGCCATCGCTGGAGGAGCTGCTGCCGCAGCTATCCCTTGAGGAGCGGGTACGATTGCAGAGTCACCTACACGAGCACGAGCGCAAAGTGAAGCGATGGAGTAAGTGTCCTACATTACCTTCGGGCCGGTCAGAAAGGTACGTATGTCATGTCCGCCTGAAATAGTCAGCCCTGCAGTAGAGGTTTCTGAAAATCGGAATCACTTGGCAATTGATGCATTAAATTTGTTGACCGAAAGTAGCATAAGCGTGATAAATTCTTGGGGTGCAACGTATCGAAAGTCTAGAATATGAACGAAATTACTCCACAGTTCCTACTTACAGTTAAAAGTATGTTCAATCACTCAGTGCGTGTGTCTGCTGTTAAGAAAATGGGAATAACACATAAACTTGCCTGCACCAAGTCCCTTGATTTGGAGCTCTGTGAATTGGTCCTGTCAACCTTGAAGGAACAAACTCAAAGACCACAGCGGCAATTAATTTTAAAATGTGATGCTACTGAAGATAAGTTCAGTCACATTTGATGTCCGCTTGCGCATAGCACATGTAGTTATGGTCAACAAAAGGTTATCCTTGACAGTTGCGACATAAACACAGTGATATCCTTGCCTTCAGTTTTAACCAAAAAGCTTCTGACTCCTCGAGCATAGACATGTTCATCACAAAGTCTTCTTTTGTTGGCCTTTGTTGAATGGCAGCTTATGAGTGTTTGGCAACTGTGGTTGAAGTCAAAAAACTATAATTCTCAGATACAAGCCTTTTTATTTATTTAACTTTTTTTGATGCACCGATTGAGGAAATCCTAATGGAAGTTATAAATATAGCATGCTCATGTGACTCCAATCGCTCTTATGATTTCTGCACACTGTCGCGACATCCCCAAGCTTGCAGTTACAAATAACAATCTGGTTCTTTTGTTGTGGCTGGAGAATTGCATTATGGAAAGATTTGTGTGACATTACCCATCGGCTCCAGTTTTGTTGATCATGATGTGCCTTAATGAGAAGACTTGTTTGCATTCAATAGTAGGGCAGATTGTCTTTTATATATTAGTATGCTCGTGTGTATGTTCAACAACTTAACATATCAAATAAATTATACACTAAGTTCATATGATGCAGAAAGCGCGACACCACCATCATGCCTCACGTCCGCCACGCTCTCCACTATTACAATGCCAGGCACCCGGTACATGCCTTTCTTCTCATTCAACTAGTGATTTAACTGGTCCTGATCAAGTTCATCGCAATTAAGTTGTGCTGCATGTTTCATTACATAAGATGTAATTTCTGCAGGGTGATGAGTTTGATGCTGTGAAGCCTCTGATGGAATCCAGAGCTAGTTTCAGGAAACAGCTGTGGGCTCACGTCAACTTCTGGGCTCGCAGTCGCAAAAGCAACAAAATCAAGCGCTTCTTCGCTGAGGTGCACTACAACCCAAAACCTATTGTTGAAGTGTGCACCATCATCGGTATGTATCTATGTCTGTAACCTCCTTTCTTAACTTGTTTATTAGTTTTGATTAATGTGTTTAACATGCATGCTCTTGCAGAAGAGCCTCTTGACCGGTACAGGAGGAGCTGCGCATTCTGTCCTGGCAACCGGGACATTTTGCACCCTGTTGGTTCCCGTAAGTTTGTTTGTGGAAATGATAAGGACCGGATGGTACAACAATTCAAGCCTCGTACATTCTCTGAATTTCGTGGAATGCCATTCACTTGCTGCCCGAGTTCGGCCTCCTCCAACGTTCAAGAGGAAGTAGGAAAGAGAGTATTCTGAACTGGGTCCCTTGGATGCTCATTGTGGCCGTCTTTAGTTCCTAACCATGTCGATCAATTCAGGTCACATTAGCAGATATATGGAATAAACATTCGTAGATGTTGTGCAGACGTAGAAATGGTATGCGATCTTTGGATATTGTTGTTCTAAGCTTGTACTATGTGTTTGCATTAGCTAAAGAATGCAATGGATCATGTCAGGTGACATTTAGCAGATATATGGAATAAATAGTTGTAGATGTTGTACAGCCATAGAAATGGTATGCGATCTTTGGATATTGTTGTTCTGAGCTTGTCGGATATTTTTGTGTTGTGACTTTGGTATTATATTATGCTGTATTAGTTAAACAAATTATTGGCTTCGACTAGAGAATATCAGGGATGAGTTCTACACCAAGTTTTTGGGAGTTATATATATTTGTGTGACTTTGGTATTATCACACTTAGTTTTGGGGAGTTATAGACATATTTGTGTGACTTTGGTGTATTTGTATGACTTTGGTATTAAAGTTTTTGGGAGTTATACACGTATCAGGCATCTTCATCTTCAACTCCTTGGATAGTTACCGCGCAGAGCAACACGTAGCTGCAGAGTGCGGGCATTGGAGGAGTCGACAGTCTCATGCTGACGCGAGCTGTCATACCTCGAGTAGGTCGCCACCATGGCTTAGGAGAGTGCTCTGTTTAATTTTCGTTCTGTTTAGGAGATGTTCTCTTTGTGCTAAGTTTGAATTATCTCAAAAAACTATGGTAGAAAATCTTTTGTCTGAGCCAAGTTTTTTAATGAGCAGCTCAAATTAATAAGCTATACAAGCTTGTGTTAATGCATCAGTGGAACCAATTGTGCAGTTTATGCTGATGAACAAGTTGAATGTTTCATATGGGCTTGTGTTAAAGCTTTTTATTGCTTAGGTAGTAGTATTAGGTTGCGATTATATATATATATATATATATATATATATATATATATATATATATATATATATATATATATATATATTAATTAGAAGGTTGAGACCGTGGGCATTGCACAAGCGTTCCAACACACGAAATGGTAGAGCTACGTTACCACTCTGTATATATACATACCTTCTAATCCAGTCTTCTTACAGTCTTGCTTAACGAAACCGGTAATCATTTTAGCCTCTCTATATACTCCTTCCGTCCGAAAATACTTGTCATCAAAATGAATAAAAGAAGATGTAGCTAGTCTGCTAGCACACCTCTAGTAGGATACACGATGGACGGGTCAATAGGATCCATCCGCGGCACCTGGATCGTGTATGCCTCCTCGATCTCTTCAGAGTAAACCCACCTCTCCGGTCCGGTTGCCGAGTGGTTATCCAGCACGTGCACATGCATCCCGCCACCACAGAACCGGTACTCAAAGCAGACCACCGAGTGAAAACCAGCCAATTCGTCGAAGTCAGTCTGGCTGGCCTCCTGAGCATCCGGATCCCTTGCGCACCCCGATCTGTAGACCAAATCATTGTCGACATCAGAGTCGAAGAGATTGTACTAGGGGCACACCCAGATATTCCCTATGAAGGGGCCTTCCGCGTCGAGCAGGTCCGCTATATGATCATCCGTGAGCCCACGGCCCAAGTCCGCGGAATGGAACTCCCATGTGCCCAGGGGCAGGAACGCCGGCGCGGGCGCTGGCGCGTTGGTCGTTCTGATGCCGCCTTCATCCCTGATCTTGGCAAGAACATCTCCCGCGACCGCCCCGTTCTTCGGGTCCCATATTCCTCGGCGCCGGCAAATGCTTCGCAGCTTCCGTGGTGCCGCGGCAATGCAGGGGAAAGTGTTTGCTCCGTTCGCCGCCTCGTACGCCAGACGGTGAGCTATCTCAACACATTTGGTCGATGCTGCGAGTGCACAGGTATCTGCAGCGAACGGATAAGAAAGAGAGTGTATGAAGACTGAAAAATAAGATATATA